CACATGGGGGTAAAACCACCTATGTGAGAGTAGCTACAATTCTCTCATAGAGGGATTTCAAAGTTACTGGTATACTTGCAGAGATACTGGCAGTCACATGGTGTGGTTTAAAAGTTGGAGAAGAGAAATTAAACATCTTTCATTTTTATTTAATTGAAAGTGTTTCTATTGATGTCACCTTCTCAGAAGGGAACTCTTAATTGGCTCTTCCTATTGGCTAATCAAGCCAGCTTGAGTTGGGGTGCTCAGCTTTTATGTCACTTCGGGCTTATCCCTTATCTCCCTCCTAAATTCTCCTTTCTTTCCTTCCCTCTCTATTAATTTACAGCCCACCTATATTTCCTGTTCTTATTATACTAGAGTGTTCTTAACTGTATTATGGTACATGGGACCGTCATGAGATGCAGGAGTAATTACACATTAAAATTTCTGCTGCAACCTCTTATGTGGTTTAGAAACTCATTAAATTCCCATTGTGACCCTTAAAGAAGCTTACACCCCTCCATCCTGCTCATGCTAGGAGTGTTCTCCACCTGCAGCTCTGTTCCTATGAAGCAGGCCCACATCCCCCAGCCCTTGCCTCGCAGGCCATCTTTGTTTGGCCTAACACAAAGCCTCAATTCAACCTCAATTACTCGCATTCACTTAACATATTTCTACACTCTTAAATCCCAATCTCTCCATGCCTATGCTATTTTAATACAGCTTAAAAGTCTTACTGTATTGTTTACACTCGAGTATATATTTTCTAGTTGAAACAACTTTTGGTATAAAAATGTTTTTAGGTGGGATGAGTTTAACTTTTTCTTAAAACTTGAGAAAAGTGATTGAAAAACCATTTTACTTTTAGGTCTAGTGTTTTGAAAAGGGAAGTAATGTAAGGATAGAGGGTTATCGTAAGGTTACAGGCTTATGCTTGTATGAATATACTGAGTTTAAATTCTGTGTCTCTCTTCATTACAACTTGTAGTAAGTATTGAATAAATTAAAAGTATTTATGTTAATAAAAGGAAAAAAGAGAAGCCTGTAGCATAAAGAGGGAGTGGGCCTGGCGCTGCACTGTACCATGCTATCATGCTTGAAGCTCCATGAAGCTGAGAATATCCAGTGACCAGCCTTTGTTGTCGTTAAATGAATAAATGTGAGACCTGGTGAGGAGGGTGGCGGGAGACCCCTTGGGTGACTCTGTTGAGGGCCATTCGGAACAATCAGGGTTTCTAATATTGAGAAATTAAACACTGTCAAACAAAAGATAATCAGATGAGTGAATTATGAAAATGGCCATTAGTGGCACTCTTTTTTCCTTGATTTAATTTTTCATTCTTTGTTCCCATACATATTAACTTTTGTTCCAATTCCAGTTTGAATACATACAGAAACTAATTAATGTGTTTTACCACAGAGAATTGAATTAGGATATTTGTGCTACTGTTTACTTAAGAACAAAGGCATTGTGTGGCAAGGAGCATGGCTGGCCAAGGCCTGACAAATCCAAGGTACAGAGGTGATCATGGACTCACAGCTTCCTAGCTTCCACATCTTTGACTACTGACTCTTCCCCCGATATCTACCTCCTGATGTTATGCATCGAGAGAGAGAATCTAAGGTGCCTGCCAACTCAAGGTTGTCTTAAAACAGTCGCCATGTAAAACAGTTACAGAACCCAAAACTCTGGCAGAGGAGACATACTCACAGACTGCTTGCTTAGTAGCATCTCAGCTTTAGGGTATTTTTCACCCATAGACTCACCTGACCTTCCATGTAGCACTTGATGTGTATACCTTAAATTTCACCTTATGGGCCGGACGTGGCTCAGCGGTTGAGCGTCAACCTAGGATCCAGGCGATCGGGGTTCGATTCCCGGTCAGGGCACATGCCCGGGTTGCGGGCTCGATCAATGACTCTCTCATCATTGATGTTTCTATCTCTCTCTCTCCCTCTCCTTTCCTCTCTCTGAAATCAATAAAGATATATTAAAAAAAAAATAAATTTCACCTTATGAAGAGCAACCATGTGTCCCACTTTCCCCAGGACAGTCCTTTCTAATTTATGTTTGTTGTCCTAGCATAATTATTAATATATCTTTTTTTCCTCCCAGAAATGGCCTGATTTGGATAAATTACATGGCCACCCAGTTGTTAAGACTTGGTGCTTGTTGCACTTCTAGATTTTCCTTGGCTCTGCTGGTAAAGGAAAACTGCCCTATTGGCCTTAGGTCCTTTCAGAAGAGTTTGTTCTGCTCCCAGCCATCCATTCAGTGTCCTAATCAGAGATGCAGCCCGAGGGCTCAACATGTTCATTTCAGAACTGGACGTTCTACAGACTGTAGTTCAACTATTTTTTACAAAGAAGTAAATTATTTTTCACTCATGTAGAACAGATGGTGTACCTGGGGACCAGTGTATGTCTTCCCTAGGAGTCTTCCTCATAGCCCCAGGCCCTGTTATCTGTGCTGTCTCATTCTGAACAACGGCTTGACTATCCCATTCACAACCTTTCACAACAAGGTTACCTAAGAGAAAGCATATGGTTCTCTCTTTACAGCAAAGGATTCAAGTTATTTTCCAAAACATTAGAAGTCATTCACCCTTCATGGCGTGGGCCTGGCACCTCATAGATGTTGGGAGATGTTTGCTCACACAGCAAATGTTGAGTAGGCTTACTGTGTGCTAGGCATCATGCAAGTGCTGGGGGCACTGTGATGACTGAAAGAGACAGTTGTGAGGGAGGGATTGCTGGGGTCAGCCAGGAGGAAAGGATGGAGCAAGTGTGTGGGGGGGTGCTACTTATAGGAGGTCGGGAGGTGGAGTTACATGGTGATGGGGAGCATGCGGTGTTATTTTATGTCTATCTCCTTGTCTATCACAGGCTCTTTTTTTAGTATTCCCAAATGCAGTCGGTATTAGAAATAAGTATGTAAATTGGGGGGGTGGGGGTGGAAGAGCGAGATCCTTTAAAAAAAAGAAATAAGATGATTAAAGTGACCTTTATCAGATCTGGCAACTAATGGTTAGAGAACTACCTGCCTTTGTAATTACAAGCAAAAGTAGCAGTCTAAAATAACTTTTATTTGCAACTCTTAGACATGCTCCAGTGCTTGTGTGGTTGTGAGTTTTGAAAATAATGAATTACCTGCAGAGAGGGGTAATTAGAATGCAGTTAGCGAAACCCCTCTGCCTCTCGGTGTTACTGAAGCGTTCCTCAGAGAAGTGACTACGGATGGCCCTGTTTATGTGTGCTCACAGTGCTGCCAGCTGACTTCATTAACCAGATACGAACGAAGTTTCTGCACCCTGTCAGCTGTTCCCAGGCACATAGAGTTAAGAATTGTTGTAATTTTGACTATTATTTAGATTTTTAAAAGGGAATGACTATGTACCATAATTTAGTTTTGAATGTAGAATCAGCAATAGATCCACAGTGGATCAGTAACTTCATTAGAAAACCCTGTCCAGGGCACAGGCATGTGCTTTATTTCCGTGCTGTGAAAGCTGTCCTTCGGCTCATGCGGGAAACCACGCTGGGCGCGCACAGGCGACACCCAGGCCCTCCGCTGACGGGCTCTGAGCCTCCCCCAGCCTCCTCCCTGGCTCGTTTTAGAACCGCACCCGGCGCAGCCCTCCACATGCTGCAAGGCCACCGAGTCCTCCCAGACGTCAGTTAAAGTAGTGTCGAGAGTTCCTAACAAGAAAACCTACGGCTAGGCAGATGATAGAAAACAGCCTGTCAGAGCAGGAAGGGGCCTGAGGACTCGCCTGCTCCAGCCTTCCTTTTGCAGAAGAGGAAATGAAGTCCTACGTCTAAGACACACATCTGGCTCACGGTAGAACCTACTCCTGTCCTTCAGTTACCCTCAGGATTCTGAGTTAGCACCGCTTCAGTCCTCAGAACAGCGCCCGGGACATAGTAAGTGTTCAGTAAATACGAGTTATCACCTGTTGTTATTTCTAGTGGCAGAGTTCAAATGAGAATCCAGATGCCCCCAAACAGTCCAGTGTTCTTTCAGGTACTCACATTTTGTATGTCCCGTGTTGTATAGGGGAGAAATGTGTTTGACGAAGTTGAGTTAAAATCAAGAGTGACAGCCTCAGTGCCATTACTGAGCATATGCTCGGTGCTGACTTCTGGACTAAGCACTGCCTATCGTTTTTCATTTAATCCTCACAATGTCTTGTGAGATTCACATTCTTGTCTCCATTTGACTCACATAAAGGCTGAGCTAGGTAACTTGTCGATGTTCACACCACTATTAAGGGATTGGGCTGGGTTTTAAATCCTACTTTGTCTGACTTCAAAATCTATATACTTAACTGTTATTTTATTTCAGGAGTTGGCAAATTATGGCTCTTGGGCAAATCAAGTCAAACCTGTTTTTGTACAGTTCTCGAGCTAAGAATGTTTTTCCCATTTTTAAATAGCTGAACAAAAATAAAGAAGAGTAACATTTCATGATGTGTGAAAATGATGGGAAGTTCTCATTTCAGTGGTCATAAATGAACTTTATTGGAACACAGCAGCGCTCTTTTGTTTGCATGTTGCCTGTGGCTGGTTCTGTGATGAAACAGCAAAGTGAATAGTTGTGATAGGGACCATGTGGCCTGGAAAGCCTACTACCTGGCCTTTAGTCTATCTTCCTTCTCGGTGATTATGTTATGAGATTCTAATTATTTAGAGCACTATAGTGGGATTTTATAGGGCCTATCTCTTGCTGAGCCCTGGCTCTTTTGTTTGTTCTATATTAATTGACATCAATCAAATGGTGAATAGTGTGTATAAAGGAAATTCACCCTTAAATTATCTGCATCTTGTGTTTTTGTACAGACTGAGGAATGCTTTATTGCTGGGTAACCTTGAGACTTGATGATGACCTTTTTTGGACTTTGGACTGTAGCTGCTTATCTGTGGTGTACACACCCCTCACATCCATTTATTGAGCTGATTATTTTCAAATCTCCAAGTATCTTAGATGCAGAAATCACTCTATTTTCTTTCCTTCGTAGTGGTTTGCTGTCTTCTGATTATGTGGAGATTCACTATGAAAATGGGAAACCACAGTACTCTAAGGTACGGTTAACAGCATATGGAAATCCTGTAGTATAAATAGACTCAGTCATAGGACTGTTCAAGGCACATTGCATTGTTTTGATGTCTATCTCAGTATAATCATCTGTCCTCTTATTCAATGGTATAAAATCTTATATTTTTAAAATTAAAATACATTTAGAATAAATTTATTAAAACTTACAAATGTTTAAGATAACAGTAGAGTTTCTGTGCATTTAGGTCAGAAAAGAAACGTTTATTGTTTTGGTTATACGTACAATATCTTATGTAAGTGAATAGTAGGAAGAGCTATCTAGTTCCATATCAACATTTTAAATTAGTAGATAACCAAGTTATGGTCATAGAAACTGAATGATAAGGCTGAATGGGTTGTTAGATTGAGCATTTAATCCGAGTGACTTTTGTGCCCCAGAAGGGCAGAGGACAGGTGGGGGAAGGAAGAGTTAGGGAGCACTCTTCTTCCTAATCTTCACAACAATTCTTTGAGGTGGATATTATTATTCCTGTGTGCAAAGGAAGAAACAAAGGCAGAGAAAGGACAAATAAACTTGCCAGCAAGCATTGCAATATAAAGGTAATTGGGTACTTGATTTCCTTTATTTGGAGGTTAGCTTTTATTCTATTCGTAGAGGATCAGTAAGGAGGAAGTGGGTTTAGATTAAAAAGAGAAAGAGGTTATTTGTATGTAAGGAACACAGTGATCTCTACCAGGGAGGGTAAAAGTCCGTGGAATGGCTGCATCTAGACTCCCACCTGCAGGAAGTCCACAGAGTGCTATTGAGCCGAAGCACTGTCCACGGATACCACAGGCACAGGAGAGGACACAGGGAAACAAAGCAAAGGAGGGGACAATGATCGGATTCTTTTTTTCTAAATTACTGAAGAGTATCCGCAGAAAATTCGACCTTTCATGTGTCGGTTTGCTGGGTTATGCAGCATAGAGAGCTGGGTTTGTTAATCCAATAGCCTCACAACAAATATTTAATTCTAAACACTGCCCAGGGGGACATGGCATTGCTCAGGATTTATGACTGTCCCATTAATAGTGGGCACATTTGTAATTTGATGTGTGTTCCAAACCTTTGAATTTTTCCACCGCAGATTAAGAACTTCCCTGTATTATTTTTACCAGTCTGTCAGTTCTTGCCTTAGGCTGCATCTGGGGTGGGGTTGAATCTCCCTAAAAGTTAATGCTGTGGAAAGTGAGCAGAAATGCTAAATCAAGCAAGGTAACGGTGCTTCCTGGCACTTGTACAAGCTACAGCTTCTGTCCCTGTGCCAGTGCCGGGAGCACTGCGGATGCTGAGTCATGAGTGTGGAGTAGAGGAGATTGCATGAGAACTTTATAGACTCAGCAAATGAACCACCTTTGCAGGCTGCAGTAACCTGATCCAAACTAATCACTAAGAAGTTTATATATATATTTTTAGAAGCAGAATAGCTAATGACTTTTAGAGGTCATTTGAGGTCCCAAAAGAGGCCTTATCATTAGTAAACACACCAAATCTTGTGTCAGTTGAAATGAAATTTTAAAACAAAGAGTAGTTCAACTCTGGCAAAAGAAGTATTCATTGCAGTTTGTTTGTGTTCATTGCTTTTCTCTTATTTTTGACCCATTTTCTCCAAACAGGTCATAGACCCAAACTTGCTTCATGTGTAATGAATGAATGATAACAGTCTGGTTTTTTTGTTATTGTTTTTTGTTAACCCTCACCTGAAGATATTTTTTCCATTGATTTTCTGAGAGAGTGGAAGGAAGGAGGTGGAGGAGAGAGAGAGAAACATCGATGTGAGAGACTCATCGACTGGTTGCCTCCTGCCTGCGCCTCTACCGAGGCCGGGAAGGGTTGGTAGCCCCATGTTGTCTCTGCCTGGGTGGGCAAGTCTGGCCAGCTTGGGGTGCAGCATTAGAAGGCCTATTGGATTCTCAGCTAATCCTTTCCTCCAGTATAGTGCTATAAAAAATGAAGGTGATACGTATTTTTTAAACCTCTGCTTTCAGTCCTGTGTCACTCTCTTATTTGGTTCTAACCTTAATCGAGTACCATCTCCTGTATGCCCATGGAAGAATATTATCAATATGTTTTGTACACATACACTTAGTATGAAAATAATCTTCATGATGCATGTATAAAGTAGCAGCATAGTCTAACGTCAAGCATCTGGACTAGAATCCAGCCACTTATTTGCTCTGTGAATTTACAAAAATTACTTAATTATCCTGAGCCTGAATGCCTTCAACTGTAGGGGGGTAATAAGAACTGTAAAGTGGGAATAATAAGCTAGTTTTTAGTGATATTGTGAGTATTAAATGATGTGTAGTATGTTACAGTATCTACTATATACCAGATTAATAGATGTATACAATCAATAAATGCATTCCCGTTTCTATTAGGAAAAACAAAAACTTAATTGGGTACCACTTCACACCCTCTAGGATGGCTATAATAAAAAAGATGGACAGTAACAAGTGTTGGCAAGAATGTGGAGAACTGGAACCCTCATACACTGCTGGTAGGAGTGTAAAATGGTGGAGCTGCTTTGGAAAATAGTTTGACAATTCTTCAAAATGTTAAGCATAGGGTTATGTTATGACCCAGCAGTTCTAAACCTAGATATATATCCAGGTGAATTGAAAACATATGTCCAAGCAAAAACTTGTGCATGGATGTATATAGCAGCATATTTATAATAGCGGAAAATTGGAAACAACCCAAATGTCCATTAGTTGACCAATAAATAAACTAAATATGGTATATTCACAGAAAGAAATATTATTCAGCCATAAAAAAGAATGAAGTACTGATTCATGCTACACCATGGGTCAGTCTTGTTGACATTATGCTAAGTGAAAGAAGCCAGTCACAAAGGACTACATAATATATGATTGCATTTATTTGAAATGTCCAGAATAGGCAAATCCACAGAGACCAAAAGTAGATTAGTGGTTGCCAGGGGCTTGGGGGTGGGGGCGGTATAAAGGAGGAATGGGGATTGACTGCTAGTATATAATTTCCTTATGAGGTGATGAAAATATTCTGGACTGAGATAGTGGTGATGGTTTCACAACTCTCTGAACATATTGAAAACCACCTAATTGTACTCTTAAAATGTTTTATTCCTTTTATTTTAAATACAAACAAGGTTTAAAACACACATATAACTCAAGATTTGTTGTTAGATAAAAATATTTTTAAATACTAATAAAAATTGTTCATTGAAAAAAAAAGTGAATTTTATGGTTTGTCAATTATATCTCAGAGGGAAAAAACCCTTAGGTGGGGACTGGGGGTTAATTTACCTAAGTTCTCCATGAATCTTCTGCTCCTTTTTTAAGATTGGTCTTGCCACTTAGGCTCATGAATAAGCCATTCTTATTCATTTATTAAATAGTATTGATTTCACTTACTATGATCTGGTCACTGTTCTAGGTGCTGGATATACATCAGTGAACCAAATAGATAAACATCCCCGCCTTTGTTCTTTCCTTTATCACTGTAATCACATCACCCTCCTACAGTGTTCTTTGTGTCCTTTCCTTATCAAATCATCCCGTGCCCAGCTTACGCTCCCTTCTTCCCTGAAGACTTCTTGGCAGGGATTGTCGTCAGAGGGAATGGGCCTCGGTGGGCTTGGCTCCTGGCCTGAAAGTGTAAAAAATTCCCTATAAAATCAAGGAAGAAGACAGTACTGGCTCCTCTCAAAGCTATTTTATGTTTGAATAGTATAATTTTGTGTGAACTATTAAAAATTTATATAGCTTTGGTACAGCCAAACTGTTCTCATACTTGAACATCCCCCCCCCCCC